GATTTTTAATCTAGAATACTATTCTTAGCCATACAACTCAATGTTAAAACTCATTCATAGTAATTGCTAGTATTTAATATAAAAACCACAAAAAATCAATGTCTTTAATAAGTTGAAATACATTTTTAATGCTTAAGTTTAATGTCATAATTGAGTTTTAACATTGGTTTCTACCTCTAAGAATAGTATTTTAGGTTAAAAATCATGTGACACATAATCATGAGATATTGAAATTATTGAATTATGAAACGTTATTTATTCTCATAAAGTAATGAATGAGATGTATGAGTTGTCTGCACTATGGCTAATGTATAACTAATGCTGCCACCGGCCCCTGCACGGACTTTGTTTGAACTAAAACAGGGACTTTGTAAAATAAATCAATGGTAAATATGATGTAAACATCTATTTTGTTTATTATTTACTAATCAATAAACTGTATTACGAGTTACGGACAATACTAGATCAACAATACTTCATAAGCAATGAAATTGATAACAAATGATAAGTGAATCAAATTACTAATTGTAAAAATACCTATCAATGCAAACACAAAACCGATTTAGTAGTCATTTGTGGAATTATTTCTTTTTAAGTAGAAATGATAGTAATATTCATAATTTTTAAAACTTACAACACTTTAATGATTAATATTCATAAAAAAATACAAAATAACTCAAAAATAAATTCACATTTTAATGACAGATTTAACCAATAAGAAAAACTTTCCTAAACTTTATTATATGGTATATAAATTATTAAAATTCATCGATGACATTAACACATATATTAGAAATATTCCTAAAATAAAACAAATTTTTTAATGAAACCTAATAATGGAAAAATGTTTTCGATTAGTGCTATCTTATTATTAAAATGTGATTTTAAACTCAAATTGAGTCAAAAGTATCCCATATAAGACTGCCGACAATTGCAGTTTTCATTCATTAGCTTTTCACTTGTCTTATAGTTATTTTAAAGCATTATTTTAAAGCATTTGTTTTATTTTCATATATTTTATATTCGTTTCATTATTTCTCTATATATTAAATCCATTGAAAATGCATTTCTTTAAGTCAATCATTGGTAAAGTATGACAATTGTTGAATAAAATAATTGATTTTCCTATTCTTTTCAATAGTTTTGGCGTTTATTGGCCTTCAAGTGCTCAGAGCTGAGGATTCAGTGCCCGAAACATCGGAAGCAAATGAGGCCATCAATGAAATAGAAATATCCGAACCATCGCTGGACTCGTCGAGTGAGTCGTCTGAATCGGCTTCGGAAGAGTTGGCATCAGAAGAGACGACCGAAACGGTTACGCTATTGCTGGAAGAGGTGGACCCCAAGAGCTACAATACGGATGAATTGGCCGCCGACGAGACGACCACCGAAACGGTCGAAGTGTTTACTTCTGAATACAACGGTTTGGACGCCGAAGAGAGTGAGTCGTCGTTCAGTTGTTACGGGCGTTCATTTGGTCAGTACGCGGACGTGTCTAAAGAGTGTCGAGTCTTTCATCTGTGTTATCCATTCTTCAACCAATCGTCGGATGAGCTCTTATACCAAAGAATCACATTCTTATGCGACGACGAGTCTGTGTTCGACCAAAAGAGGTTCATATGTGTCGACAACTCGACCGTTGAGCACAAGTGTACCGATTCTGAGGGCCTATACTTGACCTCAAACCAGGAATACCTGATCCGTGTCTTCTCGCAGAGTGTGTCGCCTATCGATGAAGTGAAGGGCCGTCAGGAAGAGGAGACCGTCAAACCCAACGCCCAGCCCTCAAACCCCGGATGGTTTAACTGGCTTTACAACCATTAATTACATTCATTGTTCAATTGTGTTATTTATCATATTATAAGCCTTTATCCAAAAATTGTTTTTAATATTTCTTGTATTTTAAATCTCTTAGAAATGCATTTGTTTTAAAAGTTATCCAAAAAATAAATGAAATGAAATTTTAAACAAAGTTTTGCCAACTTTTGCAATGAATTGCAGCGAAATCTATGAACCAATGTATCAGTGATTGAGTGCTTGTTTTGAACACAACTTCAGGTTTGCGAGCGTTTGGCGCAAACGTTGGGATCAATTACTGGTGACATGTCTTCGGGCCGTAAACGTGGATCCGATGGCCGACAAGCGATGGAACTGTTCTGCGAGTGGACTGATTGTCACAAAGTGTTCAACGATTTGGTGCTATATTTACAACACTTACGCGAAGTGCACACCAGTTGTGACACCAATTCAGACAAAGATAATCAAAACAATGACATCAACGCCGACGAAGATCACGAGGAAGAGACCAATCGTGAGTTCAGCTGTCGATGGATTGGATGCGAAGAAAATCATTTCGACAATTACTCCCAATTTTGTCTTCACGTCTCGTATCACGGCTTTCATCAGAAGCTCATGAGTAATGGTCTGTCGATTATGAAGACATTGGGTATGAATTTGGTTATAATTAATGCAAATAATAAGTGGAGACTAATGGCATGTCTTTGCGTATATTCCTCAGGAGAGTCGATATCGTGTCAAATGGATTCTTCTGCGAGGAATGTGTTGCCAGAACTGCCGCATGTCTTCGTCTGCGGATGGAAAGAGTGTTTCACAGACTTCGTGGACAGCGAATCGTTTTACAGACACGTCGACACTCACGCCGTCGAAGAGGTGGCCATTCCTTCGCTGTCGAGAGAAGAACTCAAACGAACCAAATTCGCGAAATGTCTTTGGATTAGTTGTGAGTCGGCGTTCACTTCGAGGACACATCTGAAGGAACACTTGAGATCACATACACAGGAGAAGCTGATGGCGTGTCCGTCGTGTGGCGCCATGTTTTGCAATCGCAGCAAATTTGTCGATCATCTCTACAGACAGTCGTCGGACAACGGGATCACCAAAAGTGATTCGTTGACAATACATGTGTCCAAAAGCGGTGACCAATCGATGACAACACTGACGATACAAATGCCGTCAACGGAAGACTCGGTCGGTGTGAGCAGTCAGACCACGTCGTCGTCGATACTGATCCAGAACGTGAACGCCGAGAATGAGCTGATGCTCATTGATTTGGGCGATCCGTCAGCCCTGTCCACAGTGACGGCCATCAACTCAATGGCCGCCCAGAAGTGCAACGACCAGAAGAAGTGTTACTCGTGTTCGCAATGCAGCAAACAGTTTATGACCCGATCGCTGCTGTCGGAGCACTTCCGCACTCATGTCACCAAATATAAGTGTCCGGAGTGTCAGATGACAACGAACTCGCCGTCGGCTCTCAAACATCACATCACTTACAAACATAACAATGAGAGACCCTTTTGCTGTCAATTCTGTGATATTCGCCTGAAGTCTAAGTCAGACCTGAGGCGACACATCGACACTCACAACGAGGAGCCGCCGTATAAGTGCTCTCTTTGTAACTTTCAGTCGCGATCTGTTCATACATTTTATCGACACAACAAAGAGACACATTTGGCCATAAAGTGTCAATACGTGTGTAACGTATGCCATAAGGAGTTCAGTCGCGGCAATAATCTGACCCGACATCTGACGACAATCCATAAGTACAGTCTCCCCGACGGCTGCTCTCGCTTTCAATACCATAAACAGGACGACGGCTCCTATCGGTTGAACGACAAGTCCATCGCTAACAATACTAAATGAGCGCTCCATACAAATCATATCATATTAGAGTAGTTTACAAATCATTCATCACTTAATTTATTATACATTTTAATTAAATACAAGAAATTTATTTGAAAATAAAATGATTTTATTATATTTTAACATATTGCATAATACTTATTATACAGTACTTATTTCTTACTATATTCTCAATGTGTGGTCATCTTTAATTACTATCATCATGAGATAGTAATTAAATCAATAATGTTTTAGAGCATACATTGGTTTAATAAAATATTACGATATTTTCCTATTTTCTATAATTATATCGTATTATTAATGGAGAAATGAAAATCTGGACGATTTGAGATGAAATTGATTTTTAATTTTCCTGTTTCTCTCTCTCTCTCTCTCTCTCTCTCTCTCTCTCTCTCTCTCTCTCT